CCACCACAGACTCCCAGCTCAGGGCACTTTTGGGAGGGACAGTGTGACTTGGATTCATTGTGTCTAAACCCCCTACTGTCTTCAAGCCCGGCCCAGGGTAAAATTTGTAAGGCTAACACTGCCCTGGGTGGTGTCTCTTCTTTATTTTGTAATTTTAGTCCCCTGCAACAGACTGAATGTCTGTGTCCCCCCACATTCATCTGTGGGGATCTAACCTCCAGTGTGATGGTATCAGGAGGTGAGCTTTTGGGAGGTGATTAGGTCAAGAGGGTGGAGCCCTCCCGAATGGGATTAGTGCCTTCTAAATGACCTCCTCCCCACATCTGAGGACATGGGGAAAAGACAGCCATTTATGAGCCAGGAAGGGGCCTCACCTGACACCAAATCTGCTTGACCTTGGGCTTCCAGCCTCCAGACTGTGAGAGATCAGTTTCCGTTGTTTATAAGCCCCTGATCTACGATATTCTGTTACAGCAGCTGAACAGACAAGGACAGCCCTCTTCTTCATTGATCACCAGGCGATCTCATTAGCTCCTCGGGAAGCGTTTGTTTCCTGGGGCTAGGTTAGTGAGCAAACTTCTTATCACCTTTGAGTCGGGCTCCAGCGTTGGCGACTGGGCAGACTCCCTATTTTTGAGTGCTTCTTGGGTTTTGTTTTCAACGTTTTTTTTTCCTTTCAAACTTCTGTTTGAGATCATGGGCTACTGTGGTCGCCATCTAATTTGCTGTCTTCTGGATGTCTATTTCACTGCCAATGTTTGTGGGAATAGAGAGGCTTACACTTGTAGGTATGCCGAGCAAAGAGGGGTTCCCTTTCATCGGGCCTGGGTGGAATTTTGGGGGTGTCCAGGAAAAGAAAATTCAGGTCGGCATCTTCCATAATATCCGTGTCCTGCTTGCGTCTTGCCCCGGCCGAGTGCAGAAAGCTTGGAGCAAAACAAAGAAGCCCCTGACCGCCCGCCACCCCGTGTCACCTCCCGTCGGTTCCTGTGCTATCCTGGGGTCTGGAACAGCTGGGAGCACGGTCTGCTAGAGAAATCAGAGTGAAAATCACTCCTTTCCTACATTGCTCCCCGAACTTTGGGAGAACTGCAGAATCCACGTCCTATAGGGCAATCAGGGGGAGGGGGAGATTTCTGTTTTAGATTAACAGGAGGATTTATCATGCCAGAAGGTCAATATTTACCTTGGCTTCGGCTTAATGAGTATTTACTTCTCTGTTCAGTGGCTCTCTGCTGACTTCAGCAGAAGCGAAGATCTGCTTTTTGTCTGCAAAGAGGATGCTGACCGATATTTTCTTATCAGAAAGGTCTGGAAACATAGTTGCGGAGGAGCCCGCTTCTCTGATGTAGCCAGGGGGTTTGTCTTCTCCCACCAAGAAATCTGATCCCTCTTTGTACAAACAACCCCATTTCTCAGGCGTTTTTGAACTTACGGAACGGGGGGAGCACAGAATCCCAGACACATGGCTTCACCTCTCATCTCCTTGTCTGAAAAATGGGGTGCTGAGAACTCTTGTGTATCCGAGTCAGGGCTGTGGTGAGCGGTGGAGGAGAGGATGGCTCAGGGAAGCCCCACCAACCCTTATTTGTCCAGTTTCCATTTTAGCAAGGTCCTCAAGGAAGTGAGGAGGAAGGAGCGGGCGCTACAACCCGGGTCCCAACCCCAAGCCTTTAACGCTCGATTTCTCAGGGTCTTGGGAACAGTGGCTTCTGCCTCTCCTGAAGTTTATTATGTACTGGGGACGGCCGTAGGCACAGATCTGATATAGAGCGACAAGCGCTTGTGTGGAGCGCTGGTCAGAGACCCTCCGGGCGCACGAGGCCTTCGGAGGGCACCGCCCGCCCTGTATTTCAGGGCTGCTCAAACTTTCTCATTTTTTGCCACCCACCACAAGTATGTTTTGTCTTGAAAAATCACACAATGGCACATTCGAGCCAATAATAGTCCCAGATTTGTTTTAAAATGAAGTTTTATTTTAATTCTTGACCATGGAGTAACATGGACAGGGTTTCTGCTGAGGCTCCAAGTGTTGTCTGCGAAAGCTCTGAGCACCCCTGGTAGGCACCTGCTGGCCGGCCTCACCCTGGGGGTTTGAGAAGGGGATGGCCTTTAATTTTATCCCTCACCAAAGCCTTGCAAATAATAATAATAATGAACATTTAATGAGCATTGTAATGTGTCAGGTGCACCATTGCAAGCACTTTATGTGAATAAGTCATTGAGTTCTCTTAGCAAACCCATACATTAGGTGCTATTATTATTATTCTGATTTTACAGAAGAGGATGCTCAGAGAGGTTAGGTAACTTGTCTGAGGTCACACAGCTGGTACACATTTGAGGTGGACTACTAACCGCAGCTTTGGTGGTGGGGGGTTTTAGGTTGAGATGCCACGGAATCCTTCTCCCTTCTTCTTGGCTCCCACGGCCCCGCTGGTGGGTGCTGCAGCTGAAAATCTTGCCTATAAGAGTGACGGCTTAATGAGGTTGGGTACATCCTTAGCTGCCTTGGAGATGGGCGTGGAGGATGAAGGGAAAAGTGAATTACAGAAGGCCAGAGCTGGCAAGGTCTTCAGAGACAAGCCAATCCACTCTTCATTTTACGAATGAAGATGCTGGGGAGGACCAGAGAGGGAAGGGGTTTACTGAAGGTCACTCAGCAAGTCAGTGGAGGAACCAGGAAAAGAGCTGGGCTTCTGGGTCTGGGTGATAGCACGTTTCTTTTTGTTTTGCTGAGGAAGAATTGCCCTGAGCTAAAATCTGTTGCTAATCTTCCTCTTTTTGTATGTGAGCCACTGCGACAGCATGGCCACTGACAGAGAGTGGTGTAGGTCTGCACCCAGGAACCAAACCTGCGCCGCCAAAGCAGAGCATGCCAAACTTAACCACTGGGCCACCAGGGCCGGCCCTCACATTTCTTTTCTTGATTTTATGCATCTTGGTCTTTTTATCCCTCACCATCTAAATGGAACTTCCTGTTTGCAGAACATTTGTCCATACTGCTTGCTATCTTCTGAAGGAAAAAAGCCCCTTTTAACGCTTCCTAAAGAACAGTGTAAGGACCTCGAGGGTGAGAACCATGTTATTTGCTTCTCTTACAGCCTTCACTGCACCCAGCACAGGGCTGGACACACACAAGTTTCCCGGTGCACATTCACGGGGCCAGAATGACTTTATTGTCCTAGGTGTGAAGGGGAAGACCAAACTTGGACCACTCCTCAGTCCCGAAGTTACTGGGATGGATTAATTCTTTGCCTCAAGCTTTTCATCCTGAAAGAATCCTGCGGTCTATGGGGTGGTGTCATCCCTTCCTCTCCTCTGCCCCTCTAGCCTGGGTGCAGCCCTTGGCACCGGAAAAACGGGTTTAAGATAAATACTAAACTCTTGTTCCCTTACTCTAATGCCTGCAGCATAAAGCCAATTTACAGCGACTGGAATTCCTCAGGTCTTGAAGATCTCATTATGCAAGTAAAGGAGGGGAAGGAGGGAGACAGAGTGCTCACAAATCCCCAGGGGGGAATGACCTCATCTTTTGTTGGGGGTTGGCCAACTGCCTGAGGAGCCCAGTTCAGATTCCTTTTGGGGGAGGCACTGAAAATCCCTTGACAACCCAAATTCTCCAAGTCTTTTAGGCCTTGAGAGAAGGATGGAGGGTGAGATGAAGGAAGTGCTCCTAGGCCTAGGTCACATTTCCCATTAGGGGCTGTCCACTCGGAGGTGGGCTCTGTCTGTCCCAGTCCTAGAGGGAGACTCCAGACTTGGGAAGTGTGGAAGTGCTGTTGAAAAGGCCCCAGCAGGATTTGAGGGAGCTGAGTGGATAAGGATGGGTAGTTTGGGGAGAGGGCGAAGCGGGTTGGATATGATATCTTGGGACATATACTCAAGAGGGTCCAGATGGGAGATGTACATATGGGGACATGTTGGGATAAGTAAACAAGAGGGCAAGAGCCACAGGAGTGGGCCTTTCCCTCCACATTTTCAACAGCATCTTCCTGCCTTCCTCCAACAGTCCCACAACTCTTTTACATGATGTGTTGCAGCCCATTAAGCACTTCCGTACCTGATGGCCTCTCTCCAGTCTCAGGGCCTCTGCCAGCCGCTAGGATGCTTTTGGGAGAATCAGAAAGACTCCCACCCTGGGGAGTGGGGCACAGGCTGGATGTCAGGGCTCACCTGTCCCTTGTGCGGGGGGAAAGCGCTGTGGGGATCCTGCAGCCCAGAAAAGACCAAGCTGGGGCCAGGCTAGCCGTCTGGCCGTGGGCTCAGCGTGTGATCTGGGACTCAGCGTTTCCATCCTAAAAGGTGGGATTGTGTTACATCTTCTCCCAGCTCCTTTCCAGATCAGATGCCTCATGAATCTATGATTCTAGGAACAACTTCTCACCCCATATCAGGGCCTCCCTCATTCCCAGCTACTTCTCACCTTGGAGAGACAGCTGGCAAGGTAGGGGCTGGAGATGAAGAGCAGAGGATTCTGGGGAAGCCTGGGCGTTCCGTTTGGTCCAAAGAGCCCTGAAAACGAGCCAGTGTTTTTCTGGCTCAACTTTTTTAAGCCTCAGTTTCCACCTCTGAAAATTGGGAATGGTACTACCTAATACGGAGGCCAGTGGTGTGGAGATGAAACATGTTTGCCCGGGTGGAACTGCCAGGCACAGGGTGGGTGCTCCACAGGCGTTTGCGGGCTCGAAGAGGGTTTGCTTGGTAAGGTTGTAAAGGGCGTGTGTGCAGAGTCCCAAGCGCAAGGTCTGGCTTTCGAGGCACGCGGGACCTCCTGCAGAGCTCGAACCGGATGTCAACGGCCACCGCCGCCTCCTCGGCCCCGGACCGCCGAGGGTTAATGAAAAAGCCCCACGCCCCCTTTGACGGCGCAGAGCCCACCTCGCCCAATTTGAAAAGGCGGCCCGGAGAGGCGTGGGCGCCCCCCAGACTCTTCGCGCTCGGAGCCGGGCTCCGCTCGCTCGCCAGCTCGCCCGCTCCGCTCCCGGCGGGGGCCACGGGTTCGCGCCGGTCGCCCCGCGCTCCGACGGTCCTCCGCCCGGGACTCCGGGTCCCCGCGGCCGGCCGCGCAAGATGAAGCTGGCCCTCCTCCTGCCCTGGGCGTGCTGCTGCCTCTGCGGGTCGGCGCTGGCCACCGGCTTCCTCTACCCCTTCCCGGCCGCAGCCCTGCAGCAGCACAGCTACCCCGAGCCGGGCGCCGGCTCTCCGGGCAGCGGCTACGGGAGCCGCCGGTGAGCAGCGAGGGGAGGCGCGGCTGGGGGCGCGGGGGTGGGGTTTGGGGCGGTGGAACTGGGGGCTAGGGACGCAGAGCGATCGAGGACCGGGGGGCTGGGGACGTGGGGGCGACGGGGCTGGGGACGCGGGGCCACGGGGCTGAGGGCGCGGGGTGGTCGGGGGCCGGGGCCATGGACTGGGGGGCCTGGGGGCGCCAGGCGGAGGGACTGAGGTGCGGGGCTGGGACAGCGGTGGTCTCTGGCCGCGCCCACCCTCTCTCTTCCTTTCCTTGCTCTCCAACCCTTCGCCCCTTTGGCTCCCGGCTCCGCGTGGAGGTGGCTCAAACCTGCGGCGGGGGCGCGCGGCGGGGGCTCGGTGGCTCGCGGGGGCTCGGTGGCGGCGTCCCGGGACGTTGACCGGCTCACGTGACCCCGCCGCGCTCACCTGCGCGGCCGCGGCTTTGTGTTGGGGAGCAGGTTCCGGGGTTGCCAAGGCCGTGCGTCCCGGTGCCCCGCCGCTCCTGTCGCCCGCCCAGGGACACTGGAGGGAACAATTCCGTTCGCTCTTCGGGGCTGGGGCCTCGGAGGAGCCTCGGCTGCGGCTCCCCAGCCACCTGGGGACGTGGAAGCGGCTCGGCTCGGATGGATCCACGATGGGGTCGGAGAAGCAGCGGGGTCCCCGCGGGACCCACGGCGGCCTCCTCATGCACCGGCAGGTGGCGCCCTGGCCACCCCGGGACGGGGAGGGCTGCGTGTCCTCACCGAGCGGTTGCATTCCCCCAGAAAACGCGAAAGCACGCAAATAAAAGTTGCCAAACGCCTCGTTTGCTGTAACAGCTCTCTAGAACACACAACCTGCATTCGTACTCTCTCTCTCTCTCTCTCTCTCTCTCTCTCTCGATCCTAAAACCACTCCAGGAGTGCTGTTAGAGTATTATCTTTCCTTTAACCGAGGAAACAGAGGCCCAGAGAGAGGTCCCCAAGTCGGTGGCAACTCAGGCCTGACCTCCTGTCTTCTTTCTGCAAACCCCGTGCTGTCTACGGCACACTCTGCGAATCGTTATAGAGGAAAGCCAGAGACAGCTCTTCTCTTCCTCCCCCTCGAGATATATATATATATTTTAAAGCTTTTATTTATTTATTTTTACCCCCAAAGCCCCAGTAGATAGTTGTATGTCATAGCTGCACATCCTTCTAGTTGCTGTATGTGGGACGAGGCCTCAGCATGGCCGGAGAAGTGGTGGGTTGGTGCACGCCTGGGATCTGAACCCTGGGCTGCCAGCAGCGAAGTGCAGGCACTTAACCACTAAGCCACAGGGCCGGCCCCTCCCCCTCTACCCAGATGAATTCTGGCAACGTCTTATAGCCGGGAGACAGGGATGTTTTGTGCTGGGAAGAATGTACATTTAATGGCTGGATAAGGCGAGACTCAGAAAAGCATAAAAGTGCTTCTGGAAAACTTTGCATACAATTTTATTTCCCTCATTTTGTTTGGAAATACTTGCCAAGGCTTCTATTAGTATTATTCTCCAAACACCCACAGTAGTGTGGCCTCTGCATGCTTCCACACGAGAATAGTCTAAAAAGGAAGCTTTTCAAGTTGCAGAATGATATGTGTAGCATGATCTCGTTTATGAAAAACAGTTCTGATCTATACCTACGCATATTTATGCCCAGGAAAAAAGTTTGTAGGACACCATTTTCGACAGTTACCCATGTGGACAGACCTGGAGTGGGACCAGGGGAGAGAGCAAGAGAGGACTCCTATTTTTTTCCTCTGTCTGCTTGTGTCTGGTTTACATGTTTTGCAAGGAGCATATATTCACATATTGCTTTTGTAATTAAAAGGTGTGGGAAGGAAAAAAAAGGCGGCTCCTGCAGCCTGGAAGATGCATGCTGAGAGGAGCCAGTGGTGAAGTCTGTGAAGGGAGTGAGAGAATGGGGACCGGGCTTCTGGCGTTCGGTGGGCTGGAACTTGGGGACCTCTGCAGGAATGTGGAAGGGATGTTTTTAGCACAAATAAAAAGAGGCCCAAACAAATGTGGTAATCTTCCAGAACTCTTTCCACCAGGATGGGAGGAGGGAGAAGGTCTAATTGGTTCAGGAAGGATCTGGGTGAATTTGGGGAAAATGGATTTCCAAGTAGGATACTAGGCGGTCTTAAGGAGGCTTGGAGCAGGTTCTAGATGCTTGAGACGGATGCTTTGGAGTGTAACTGAGCCCTTCTGTGGAAAGCCCAGTGTGGGCATTCCAAGCTAGAGCTGGCCTGGGTGTCATACGTTCCTGTGTCTCATGAGCTGTCAGTCACAAGTGGCCCATGTCCCTGAAATTCAAGAGCCCCAGGCTTGGGAACAGTGTATGGCACAGTGCTCCTCACAGCTTTAGCTCCATACGTGTGGTTACATTGGCTTGGTCTCCACCGATGGGCAAAGCGATGGAGCTGTTTCTTGACAAATAGTCTTCCTTTATTTCGTGGTGGTTGCTCTTGTTGGCGTCTGATTTTTGGATGTGGCTTGTGTTCTCCTTTCTGTGTGTGTGTGTGTGTGCGTGCGTGTGCATGTGTGGGGTGCTTGGGTCAGGTGTCTGGGTCTGACGTGTGCTGGGGGCTTGTTGCCTTACCCAGGGGTGCTCTGCTCTGGTCACCTCCATCAGAAGCCCAGGGTGGACCCTTCTGTTTAAGCTATTTTAGCAAAAAAGAGGACCCCAATTTCTTAGAGGGCTGTTTCCAATAGAATCTTGCAGCCTGCGTATGGACCACTAATGATTTTTGTCAGCCACAGAGCTGTTCAGATGCCAAATAAAAGTTGCAGGGAAACGCAGCATTAATTGACTGGGAGGGCTGCACGAGGACGAGGATGGAGCCCCTCGACTCCCCGGCCCAGTTCTTCCATTCCATCCTAGCAAGGGTAAAGCATTTGTGAAACTCTTCAAAGTATGCAAATCTCACTCATTTCCCTCGCTGCCTCCCTCCCTCTTTCTCTTCCTCTCTCCTTCCTGTCTCCTTCCCTCCTACCTTCCCCTCCCCACCCCCCTTTCACAGATGTGTATTAGGGGTCTTGTCTGCTGTCTCCTCCTCACCTCTATATCCCACCCTCAAGAGGCCAAAACAGCAGCAACCCATCAGGGCGTGGGGAGTGGGAGCTAGAGCTGGGGCCCCGCACGCCATCCTTGTTGCACAGCTCCCAGCTGGAGGAGGGAGAGGTTTTAATTTGGATAAAAGATGAAGTTTTAATATTAATTCTTGGAGTGTTCTTCAGACTAAGAGAAACCAGAAGAACTGTGGGACCTGCCCAGGTTTCAGCAGAGGAAGGACTGAATATGCCCTGGGGGGGCCGGAGACAAAGGACAAAATTGGTTTTGCTTCCCCCTGAAGAATGGCGCTCGTTCCATAAACCACTTACTCCAGCCGCGTTTCTACAGGTTATGAATCAAGCTAATGAACAGTTAAATAAGTAGGTTGTGTCCTCCAGCCTTGAAGAGCGTCCCTTCACAATGATCTGGAAAGCCATGTTCAAATGAGGAGGGCTTAGACGCCTGCTCTGGAAAATGGTGGCAGGGAGGGCTGGCCCTGGCCCACCGTCTACCCTGGATTCTTCCCACACTGTGAGGGGCGTCATGCACAGGGTTATGGACCCCTCAGCCTGCATGTCCAAGTTCAGACCACACCCCTTGGCCTAGCAGCGGGCACACTGGCTGTGGGCTCTGCCCTGGAAGGCGGGCCTGTGAAGGTGAGCCCTGGAAGTGGGCTCACAGCCATTTGGGCAGGGAACCTGAGCCCAGAGAGCAAGGTCTAGAAGGAGGCAGGGGCCTGGGTGAGCACATCCTCTTGGCCCCACAGACTCATCACCCCACAGGAGGGTCATGGCTGGAAGATTCCAGAGCAGAGTCCTCTCAAGTGTACGGCCCAGGGCAGGGCCCCTGGGCTGGGTCTAAGGACCACTGTTCCTCTCACCTCAGTGAGGTGGGGGCTTCGGGCTCTGTCCCTAACTCTTGTTGTGGACTTGCAAAGGTTACTTAACCTCCCTGAGCCCGTGTCCTGGTCTGCACACTGAGGACACCGTGCAGACGGGATGCTGCTGTGAGGCTCGCTGGGAGGGCACGTGTGCAAGGCGCCGAGAGCGGAGAGGGGTGCGCAGATGCTGGGTTTGCAAAACGCAGATCTGACCTCATTCCTCCTGGCCCACACCCTTTGGCCGTCCCTGCTGTGGTCAGGAGAGACTCTGCTTAGCCACGTGTGCTGGCCCTTCTCCAGTTGACACGGCCCCCTGTGCCGCAGGCCACCCCTCAGCCTCCAGCCCGGCTGACCGGCTGCTCCTGTGGGTCATTCAGGTGCGCTGGGTGCTCTGCTCCAGGTCACACCTTTAATGATGCTGAAACTAATGAGTGAGTGACAGTTTCTCCTGACCCCTCACCAGGTGAGGGCCTGTTCTGTCTTGGTGCTTTACCTGCGGGAACTGGTCATCCTCACCACGGCCCTCCAGGCCGCCCTCTCCCTCTCCTCCCCTCCCCCATTTTGCCATTATTCTGGGCACCCCGTCCAGGTGTGTGGCTCACCCACACCCAGTGTCACATTCTAGACCTCTTCCTCAGCCCCCCTCACTCTCCTTGGCTGCCCCCTCGCTCTTGCTCCCCCACAGGAACCTCATACAATATCTCAGCATCTTAAACTTGGAACTCACGCCCTTTTGCCCCCATCATTCACTCCATCACTTACTCGCTGGCGTAGGGCGCTGTAAGTGCCAGCCTGTGATGGGGGAACTGAGTAGCACAGTCTGTGACCAACCCAGCCACTGTCTGATGGGGCCCCATTTAGTTCTACAATGATCTGTCTTTCTCCTCCACACTGCTGCCCGATGGACACTTCTCAGCTGCAGTAGAGACCCTCTCTCCCCAGGTTAAAGCCCTGTGATGTCCTACTATCTCCTACATCCGCTTGGCAGAAAGGCCAACTCTTAGGTCAACTTTCACTGATTGGTAGGAGCTGCTCAGGTGAGTGTGTTAAGAAGGATTCTGAGGGC